TGAATTTTATGATCGCTGGGCTTTGTTTGGGGCTGTTTAGTGCTAAACACAATTAAAAACCAAATGCATGCAGAGCTAGACGCTAAACCCACACAGAGCTGGCTCGAGGCCTCAGGAGATGAGCCCTGGCATCCCTGGTAATTCCTCAAAGGAAAGAGATGATCAGCATAAAGCACTCCTAATCCCCCAAAACATTCGTTCTTTTTTTGGAGAGGGTAGTATCGGTTGACAAACCTCAGGGGATCAAACAATGAGAATGCTGGTCATTGAAATGAAAACTATTTCCAGTGATGTCTTCTAGCCTTGTCTACCGGGGCTGGGCTAATATTTACAGGCTTAAGGTCTTTTTCTTTGTCTTTCTCTGTTTAAGATATTTTTACTAGAGGGCCGGTGCACGAATTGGTGCATCAGTGTAGCCTCGGACTGGCCTGCGGGGATCAGCTGAAACTGGCTCTCTGACATCCCCCGAGGGGTTCCAGATTACAAGAGGCCACAGGCCAGGCCAAGGGACCCCACCGGTGCACCATTGTATCTGGGGTGTGACACGGGAGGTTGGCCAGCTGGGGAGGGACCATTGGAGGGCTCCAGGGTGTGTCAAGCATGTCTATCTCAGTACCAATCAGCTCGGCCATGACCTGTCTGTGGTACAAGAAGCAACAGCCACAGCTTCTCAGAGCCTCTCGCTACTTCATTTTTGGAATAGAAAGACAGGGGATCGGGTCTCCAAAAGCATTTTACCTCGGTTTTTCTTTATGGTTTTTACAGTTGTGTTTGTGGTTGCCTTTGGTTCAAATTTATAAATCTCAACTTTCTTTTTTAGCTTTAGATCTCTCTTCTAGAACAAACTGTACAAAACATACTTAAGGTAAAACATGACTCTATGAAGGTAACATGGTCCTATGGAATTTTAAAAACATTTTTTCAATCACAGTAGACATAGAACATTAGTTTCATTTCAGGGGTACACCCCAATTATTAGACATTATATAATGGACTAAGAAATCATGCAATCAACCTCATACCCATCTAAAACCGTACACAGTTATAATATTACTAGAGGCTCAATGCACAAAAATCTGTACACTCTGGGGGGTCCCTCAGCCATCCCTGGGGGCTCTCCCAGTCTGGGACCTCTTGAGGGATGTCCAACTGACGGCTTAGTCCCGCTTTAATGCTGCTGTGGAGGCTCCCACCATCCCCTGTGCTCGGCAGCTGTGAGCCTGGCTTTTGGCTGAGTGGTGCTCCCCCTGTGGGAGTGCACTGACCACCACCGGTGGATAGCTCCTGCCATGAGTATCTGCCCCCGGCGGTCAGTGCGTGTCATAGCGGCCAGTCGTTCTACCGATTTGTGGATTTTCATATTAGCCTATAATTATATAGGATTGACTCAATGCTCTACTTTACTGTGCCATGACTGTTCTTTCTTTATATAGTTTTCCAGATGACAGTGAGAAAGTGAGAGGGAGAGAAAGAAAGATCAAGAGTGACAGAGAATCATGGATTGGTTGCCTCCTGCATGCCCCCTACTGGGCATAAAGACTGTAACCCGGGCATGTGCCATGACTGGGAATCCAATCGACATCACCTGGTTCCTAGGTTTAAGCTAAACAACTGAGCCATGCCAGCCGGGCTCTTTTCATTTCTTTTCTTTCTTTTCTTTTCTTTTCTTTTTTTCTTAATTAAAACTATGCAGTTGGTACAACTTTTCTTTTGGTCCTGACAACACCACCTTCTTTCTGATCATCTCAGAGGGAACTCACAAACCATAGAACAATCCACCCCATGCAAAAATACGCAAATAATATGCTTTACCTTTAACAGCTGGCAGAGGAACAAAGCTAACGTCAGCGTCCAGGTGGGCTTCTTAACAGCGGACTTGCTTCTCAAGTGCTGGTGAGAGAGGCAAGACCAAAATATTCAGGGACAGACAGACAACTGGAATAGCTGATCGGGAAAACAGGAAGCAAAGTGACAGGTGAAAGAGCACATAGGATTCCTGAGGTCTCATGAAAAAAACGGCCGACGCTCTATCCACTGAGCCAAACCTGTTCGGGCGCTAGGTCGTCTTTAAATGACTACCCACCTGGTATGTTAAACCAAAAAAAAAAAATCTATTTTAAAACAATGTGCATTTAATCTGAATTCAACAATTGATTAATATTTTTTAAATGATTTTATTGACTCAGAGAGGAAGTGAAAGAGAAAGGGAGAGAAACATCCATGATGAGAGAGAATCACAGATCGGCCGCCTCCCACACGCCCCCTACTGGCGATCAAGCCTGCAACCTGGGCATGTGCCCTTGACTGGGAATCGAACCCTGACCTCCTGGATGATAGGTCAATGCTCAACCACTGGACCACGCCTGCCGGGCCGGAAGTGTAATATTTTGAATATGAGAAACGCAACTTAGAAACACGTCCCTCACGCTCCCCAGTCCTCAGCATTAAAGGTCTCAGTTTGCATTTGCAAACACTTTCCTGTAAGAGGAGAATTTAATCAGCAGTCAGTGATCTCTTTAGTGCAATCATGGATGCCCTGAAATTGATTTCTGTGGCTCCCTTCGGGCCCCCCTCCAGCCGCCTCTGTGTGGTGCGATGGTAGATGAATTTTATGATCGCTGGGCTTTGTTTGGGGCTGTTTAGTGCTAAACACAATTAAAAACCCAAATGCATCCAGAGCTAGATACTAAAGCCATACACAGAGCCGGCTCGAGCCTTCAGGAGACGAGCCCTGACATCCCACGTAATTCTTGAAAGGAAACACATGATCAGCATAAAACACCCGTAATCCCCCAAACATTCGTTCTTTTTTTGGAGAGGGTAGTATCGGTTGACAAACCTCAGGAGATCAAACAATGAGAATGCTGGTCATTGAAATGAAAACTATTTCCAGTGATGTCTTCGAGCCTTGCCTACCGGGGCTGGGCTAATATTTTCAAGCTTCACTTTTTTTTCCTTCTCTTTCTCTAATATATTTTTAATAGAGGACCAGTGCACGAATTCGGCCTGTCCTGCCGGGATCGGCCTAAAATGGCTCTCTGACAGCACTGAAGGGGTCCCAGATTAAGAGAGGGCACAGGCCAGGCCAAGGCACCCCACCAGTGCCCCATTAGGTCTGGGGAGGGACACAGGAGGTTGGCCAGCTGGGGAGGGACCATGGGAGGGCTCCAGGGTGTTTCCAGCATGTCTCACTCAGTCCCAATCAGCCAGACCCCAGCAGCAAGATGACCTACCAGTCTGAATGTCTTGTCCCTGGTGGTCAATGCATGTCATAGCGAGCAGTTGAGCAACCTTAGTATATCATTTGCATATTATGCTTTGATTGGTTGAACAGATGACTGGTCGACTGGAAACTTAGCATATTAGACTTTTACTATATAGGA